GTGGCGACTCCAAACTTTATAAATAAATTCTCTAAATAAAACCATAAAATCAAAATCTAGAATTTTTCGAGAGTCCCGTCCGACGTCGTGCGGTGATAACGATGACAAAGGGAAATGTTTACGAGTCAATTTTATTTCAACACAAAATCAAATAGTGGATATTTTAACAAAATCGTTGTCCGTTACACGGTTTAGTTTCTTAAGGGACAAACTTAGTTGGCGAACCCCTGCCCTCAGTTTGTGGGGAGGTGTTATGCTAGTAAGGAACTGCAGGAGTCATGGACTCTGCAGCAGTAACAGAATCATAACCAAACTCTATCAACTCAAGAGATGGGTTGCTAACCAAACACTACACTTAGAAATCGTAACGAGATAGAGTTTGTATTTTCTTATATCTATACCACTATAAAAATTGAGTTAAGTCCTCAGTAATATGCTATAGAGAAACTTCATTTATAATATACAACTCTGTAACTCAATTGTGTTCACCCCTGATGAACTCATGCCAAGAGCTGTGAAAGAGTGGTTAGCTGCCTCCACCTTATACCATGTCCAAGCTCCTGAAGCTGAACCATGGATTAAAACAAAATGCCTTGTTTGATTGTTGCTCTCTCCCTTCTTCTTCTTCTTCTTCTTTTTTTTTTTTGGCATGACAGTACTTAATAACGTCATCTCTTGGCGGTTTATATATATATATAAAGGGAGAGTAGCTTGTGTTGAAATGTTGAAACTCGGAATTGTCAAGTTTCGATCAAGAACTCCAAGGCATTATTTCTTTGACTAGCCATTTCATGCGTAATTCTTTCTTAATATTATTAACATGCAAGGGGGAGGAGAATGCATTAAATCTGGGTATTCATTTCTGTTGATCATATTGAAGTTGAATTTTTTTTTTTTTTTTTGGTCCTAGAAGAACTTCAAAGACAATTGCCAATGAATATATATTTAACATATCTTGTAATTAGACTCTTCTTGTTTAGTTGTTCTTCCCTTTATATATATATATATATATATATATATCCTATGAGTATCCTTTAAACATATAACGTGTATCTGTCATGAAATGTGCCTATAAATACGTTGATCAGAAAAGGAATATTACTTAACTTTATCATAAAAAGTGATATTTAATGCAAGGAATAATTATCCTTGGTGTTTATTTCTTAGCATCTGCCCAAGTAAACACATGGTATGCTGATGAAAAGTTAGACATGTTGGAGGTACCGGTTGCACAGACCCATTATTGTACTTTTCTAGCGGCTTTTATGGATATATACGTCAATTGACCTTGACGGAAAAAATGGATTTGTTGCTGATGGCTTTCAAGTCTTCGTTTGTACATTTCAACAATATAATTTTGTCAGCTACTGACGAACAAAAATTGTTAAAAAAATATATATATATTTATTGAACTTTAATAATCGTTTCAATTTTTCAAACTTATAGTTATCTCTCTCTCTTTATTGATGAAGTACCATATGTATATTAGATGACAATAGCTAATTAAAAAATGGTTAAAGCCGGTAAAATAAAGTCAAAGCATTACAATAATATTAAACTAATCTGATTTAATTATCCATTTTATATCTTCAGCATAATGAGAGGAGCTCCTAATTTCCACAGCTTAACTCTTTCCTCATTTTTACTTTTTACCTCGTAATTTGGTTTACTAGTTTTCTTTTGGTATATTTTAATTATATAATTTTGTCAGATGCTAATAAACAATTATTTTATTAATTTATTCTCAATTTTTATCGAAAAAATTGTTAAAAAAAAGAAGAAGATATATTTTAAGTATCATATGTTTAGCCAACTTAAACTTTAACAATCGCTTCAAATTTTTCAACCCTTCTATTTTTTTATTTTTTATTTATTTATGAGAGACATTAATTAAGGACAATAGCCAACCAAAAAATTAGTAAAGACAGTAAAAAAAAAAAAAAAAGTCAAAACATTAAGTAAAAGTAATAAATCTAATTTGCTAACAACTTGCTTGTTGACCCAATGAATTATATTACACTAATCTCATTCAATTATTCCATCCATGATCAAAGAGGAGTGATAGAAACATTATATTATATTTCTATTTTCCTTAAATTTAGTTGAATTGCTATGTTTTATGTCTTAATAAGTTAATTAATGTTCATATTTATTTATAAGACATCAATTCGGGATTAGGAGTAATTGTGTTTAAAAGTTAAGAATTCCAACACGTTTTCACTTAGACTTTCGTCTTTCTTGCGAGTTTTGGGTAGATTGAGAGTTTGAATTGAAATGAGTGGCCTTCGTAACTTTTATAAAGGACATCGCAAGCTTTCTAGAATGATGTGTTGGGTCAAAATCCAAGTTCTTTTGGATCTCCAAATAATATCTCAAAATTTGATCAAAGAAGTTGATGCGGAATCCCATTGGGCCTAGAACCGAGTTTCGGTCATTAATTCATATTTGGAGTTATAGACGACCAATTAATGCAAATCCAATTCTAATAAAGATTTAATACTCATATTTACAACTTTGATGAAGGGCCTAAGTCCAAAGTAGGTGGGTTTAAAGTTGGAAATTAGTTGGCAAGTCGATTCCTAATTCGATCGGACTAATTTGCACGAGTTTCGGTGTTTGGCATGCAAATCGAGTTTTAGACCTTCAATTGATGCAAACCAATGGCATTGGAAAGAATACATATTGGACTAAAACTATTTTGAAGAAAGAAATCTCTAATTCGGAATGTACCTAGTGTGAAATTGGTACCAAAGACAGAATAGGAAATCGGGATTCGATTTTCCGAAGATAATTTTAGAAAAAGTTATGATTACATTAAAACTCTAACCTCATCTGATTTTTTAGAGGATGTTTTCAAATTAAAAAGGCGAGAGAATGTGGCTCTCTTTTTACTCGGAAATTTAATTTGTTTTGAAGAACCATAGAGGAGCTTTTTCTTGACGACATACCTTACATTTTTCTTTTAAATAAATTCGTGGTCTTAAAAGCCATGAGTGGCTAAAGTCTCCGATTCAACTTAAGGGAGTTTAGTCCATATCTATGTGATTGTGATACCTATTTCTACCTTACATCTATCAATACATTGATTATCTATTGTTCTTATGTGTATTATTGAATTATGATTGCAATTAGTATTTATTTGATAAGGGCCCATTGAATAAATATTAATTGGAATCTATTGCTAAAATTAATGTGGTAATCCATAATTGTTATCATATTGTTCATAGTAGCACAAGTATTTTTAAAGATTGTGATCCCGAACTTTCGTTATTAATCCTTAAGAACATAGTATGGATTAAATGGTTGCCGCTTGTGTTAAATCATTGTTCATAGTAATCTTGTCTTAGAACCTAATGTTGTCATCTAATAGAGGAGGATTGCTTGTATACCGAATCATTAGATAACAAGGATTCATCCGAGTGTTTCACCTAAATTAATTACTTAGGAAAGAAATAGGTTATATTTCCACTTGTGAGTATAACTTAATTGCTTAATTAATGTTTGATAGTATTTTTTTGTTGTTGATGATCAATCACCCATTTGGATGAAAGAATTACCTTTGGGCTAGAGTTTCTAATTATTAATTTATAATTTTATTTTGATTTTTTTTTGTTTAATTTTGAATTTCTAGCAAACAATCCCTTTTACTTTTGTTATTCGGTATTTATTAATCACAACGAGTCTCGTGGGTTCGATCCCTATTCCTCTGTCTACATTATTGTTGATTGCCAAGAATAGAGTTTATTTTTGGTGTTCCGCAACACACATCATGGAGCTACTAATTACTTAATTTCCATATATAGCTCTTTTGGTAGCAAAAACGTTTGTCCCCGTTATACCAGTAGTATAAGAAGATGCAAATAAAACTAGTAGTTCAATCCCTCATAATTTCACCAATTCTTTATTGACATACCTTACCAAGAGGATGTTAGAAAATAATATATATCATATCCCGAGGCCTTACATAACGAGCTTAAGCTTTTGGGTGAAATGGACCTTTAACATGGTATTAGAGCCTTGATGACTAAACGGTCATGAGTTTGAATATCACCGCCACTTTCTCCTCTAATTAATTAAGCACAAGGTAGTGTGGACTTGTGTAAGTTTCAAGCCTAAAGGGCTTTCACTTGGGAGAGTGTGTTAGAGAATAATATAAATGCGAGACCTTACCTAACGAGTTTAAGCTTTTGGGTAAGATAGTCCTTGACAAAAGAGGCCAATGAATGTGCCATTTTAAACTCCCAACTAGCTATTCTATCAAAAGGCATGAGACATTGTAATAGATCATCCCCTAAATCAACAAAGTATTTATGAAGGTAATTAGCCCATAAAGCAACCTCTTGTGGAAAATTAAAGCATATATATATACGCTCCTAATCTGGCGCAACTAAGATCATTAAAGATACAGTCATTTCTGACTAATCAAATCCACCAAAGCACAAAAGATATAATGAAGAGCTAAGTTCCTGACCCAGACGTGTGTCCAAAACCAAAGTGAACGTTCATCTTAGAGGGCAAAACGAAATTCATTTATCAAGGCAGTAGAGCTGGCACTATCTGCGGAAAAAATTGAGGAAATTCGAATCCAATAAAGAGAAAGATTAATGGCACGAAACATCCTGCCAATCTTTTGATTTTTTAATGTACTTCCTGTATTTTTTTTAATTCATTATCTTTCTTTATTTTTGAATTATTTCTTAATGTAACCTCTTTCGACTGTTTTCTAACTAACTTTTGGATCAAAATTGATAGCTAGTCTAAAGAATTCTAGGTGGCATGACACGTTAGATTGATTTATCATTTGAAAAAAAAAAACAACAAAAATTTAAAAAGTAATAATAAAAGTTATGAAACAACCCTCAATCACCTCTTAAATGTTCTGATCAGATCGACGAGAAACTGATCTTATTTAAAATTGATAGTCCGACAAGAATACATTAAATTATGAAAATACAAATAATTGATGCTGTCCCTTAGAATTGTAGACTTTTAATGCGAATCTAAGCGTGTTTACGTGCCAATTTCAGTATACCCTGACTGAGTTCTTTAGGCTTAGAAAACTCTGCCATGTGATCTGCTGGAATATGCATCACTTCCTTAACCTCATTTTGTTCAATCATGGAAAGCTGTAATGATGGAGTAAGCAATAAATCCTTAGTACAAACAATATAAACTCGCCGAACTGATCCATATCTGTCATTAGTGAACTTGTTCGCCTTGGACAGGCTTTCCAAAAACATTGATTCTGGCCTTTTTAGAAGCGCTTGGAGAGTGAGATCCTGCAATATTTAAACAAGGCAAATATCATTAGTATAAATACTATACTGGTTACTGCTATATAAGAAACATCTGGTCAGTTCAAAATTGAAAATTATGTGTATCTTACCTCAATGGGGGTAAGTTGAAAGAGCGTGGATGAAGTGTTTTGCTGCTCTTCTTCTGCACCCACCGATGGCGAACTGCTCTCGAGAAACTGACAAAATGGCCAAAATACCAGTTTGATCGATGTTAGAGGTGACAACATAGTACTGTTCATGCATGACCTTAAAACTAATTGATTCTTATTGTAATATTAATGAAAAACACAGCAGCTGGTGATTAAGTACCTTCTCTAACATAAAAGATGGCCGGTGCTGAGTATCAGGCAAGATTGCTGTAACGAAAATTGCTAGAGAAATCTTCTCTGGGAACTTCTCCATAGCGAAAGCTAGGTTTAAGCCACCTAAACTATGCCCCACCAATACAACCTTTTCATCTTCAGGTAAGTTGGCCATGAACTCGGTCAAGGGTTCGTTATATTGATCAAAAGTACGAACTTCTTCAAGTGTTTTTGCGTTCACTCCAGATGCACTCATGTCAAGAGCGGTGACAGAGTGGCCAGCTGCCTCAAGCATTGGCTTCACCTTGTACCATACCCAAGCTCCTGCAGATAAACCATGGACTAAAACAAAATGAGTTGTTTGAGTGTTGCTCTCTCCCATTTTTTTTGGTTTGGTTAATTGATAATAAGTAATTTGGCTTGATATCAAGTAATAAGACTGTAATGGCTTGATGGTGCCTAGTCATGTCATTGCTTGGTGTTATATAAAGAGATCGAGAGCACCGGGTGTAGAAATGTTTAAACTTGGAAATGTCAAGTGGGCCGCCCGTTTTGGATCAAGAACTCCTAGGCATTATCTTATTTGACAAGATCAATCATTCATGTTCTCGGATTATATTAACATGGGGAGGAAAACGCGAGCAAGCAAGCTGGGCGTTGTTTCGATTTATATTGAATTCGGTAAGTGGTCGTATTTAATTCAGAGAATAACTTCAAATATGATGGACAACTAGCTTGACTAGTGCAATTTTGAGGAGATAACTCCTTTATTATTATTATTATTATTATTATTATCCTATAAGGTATCCGGAGCTTAAAAATAACTCAGATTAATCCTTTATTATTTTATCGAGTGCACAAGGTAGTTGAGATAGTTATTCCGAAGATTTTTTATATACATAAGAATTTGAATTCGAAATCATTTAGTTAAACGATTAGAGTTTCTTTTACTCAAATCAATTCTTTTGAGTGAAGTAACTCTTTTAATCCAAACCAGAGAGTCAAAATTTTCTTATCACAATTTTAGACTCTTAATTAGCCAATGTCCTGTAGCTAGTTCTTTGGTTAATGGCTGGAGGGATCATTTTATTCTTTCTTTCTTTTTCATTTTAAATTAATCTTTTATATTTGATTTTTTTTAATATTATGCTTTCATTAATTTTTCATAGAAAATAGTGAAACATACTGGCAGCTAATTTTCACAAAACTTTGCCACTAACGTGGCTAGGGATGGGGTAACGAACACTACAGCTACGGCAACCATTTTCAAAAGCAGGTTATGATTTTAAAAATTGTGGTCAGATTTATGGTATATTTGGTTTCATTGGTGAAACTACTAGCTAGGGGTGAGCAAACGGTTTGATTAATCAAAAATCGAATAAAATCGAATCGAATTATGAAATTTGGTTCGATTTTAAATGTAAAATTATACAATATAAAACCGAATCGGAAAAACCAAAATTATTTCGGTTCGGTTCGGTTTTTTTAAAAAAATTTGGTTTCGACCAAAAACCGAAATAAATAGTAAAAAATTTTCTAATTTCTAAATCCCTAACTTTTCAATCTTCATTCTTGCTGAAACCGAAACACGCAGATGGAAAGTAAATTTTGAAAACCGTTGAGGTAAGAAAAGAAAGTGACGAGTGTAATTAATTACGATACGGTGTGTTTGAATGATAAAATCAATTACACTTGAACTCGGTTTTCATTAAAGCCTAGTTAAAGTCTTCAAGGGCTTTGTGATTCTCTATAAAAAGGATTCATTGATAACAAGATGTTACTCCATTGGCTAGTTGACTAAGTGCTAGTACAAAACATCTTTCCGTAATGATTTTTTTTTACGACAAAATATTTCGGTTAAAATCAAAATATTTTGAAACCAAATCGAAATAATTCGGTTACAAACCGAATTTACAGAATTTATTTTGGTTCGATTTTAATTTTAATTTTTCTTAATTTGATTAATCGAAAATTAAATCAAACCGTTTAACCGAATGATCATAATTAGAAACTAAAACTTATCTCCGAAAGTCAACTCTCATACGTACATACAACTCATATATATGAAAAGAAGCCTAATCATTGACCTTAGGTGGGGAAAGGTGGTAGAACCTGGAAAGGTAGTTGTCAGGGCCATTACCAGACACATATTTTGTATCCACGCTGAACATTGACCTTTAATAAGACTCCAAACGTTTGCAAAGTAGGTGATGCGGGCCAACAGTATGCACACGGTATAAACTGGGGGAAAAAAAAACCCCCCTCAATTATGAGGTTTTTTTGGGGTTTAGTTTAATGCCAAATGGGCCAACAAGTAAAACTCATTGCTATACTTATAATGTAAAAGTGATTTTGGTTAAAAAATATTATTTAGGCTTTTAAAATTGATTTTTACTATTTTTTGAAATTTTTTTTTGAATTATTTTAGTGTTTTGATCGAATTTTTTTATTTATGTATGTCTTGGAGGCTAAAAAATATAGCTTTCTTTGATTAATAAAAGTTTACGAAAAAATATCTCAAGTTTATTCTAATTTTTGATATTTTTTGAATCAATATATCCATATACATCCTACGAGTATCCTTTAAATATATAATCTGTATCCGTCATCAAATGTATATTAGATTACAATAGCTAATTAAAAAATGACTATAGCCTGTAAAATAAAGTAAAAACATTACATTCAAAGTTTGCTAACAACTTGCTTGTTGACCCAATGAATTATATTAGACTAGTCTAATTCAATTATCCCATCCATAATCAAAGAGGAGCTACTAGTTAGTTTCCATAGCTCCCTTGATAGGAAAAACTTCTGCCTACGTTATACCAGTAGGATAAGAAGATGCAAATAAAACTAGTAGTTCAATCCCTCATAATTCCACCAATTCTTTACTGACCGAGAGAAGCTCCATGAATGTTCCATTTTAAACTCCCAACTAGCTATTCTATCCAAATGGCATGAGACTTTGTAATAGATCATCCCCTAAATAAACAAAATAGTTATAAAGGTAATTAGCCCGTAAAGCAACCTCGTGGAAAATTATTAAAGCACATGTACGCTCCTAATCTGGCGCAAGATCATCAAAGATACAGTCATTTCTAACCAATCAAATCGGCCAAAGCACAACGTACAAAACCAGGAACACGAAAAATTAAAGCATATCTTCTTTTGCATTTTACCGCTAGCGCATAGAAACTATATTGTTCAAAAACTTCATATATTACTCGGAGGGTTCACTTGATTTGAAAAGAATCCTAACAGTTTAAATAAATGATATTAGATTTAAGTATTTATATATATAAAAAAAATTATGTGAATAATTATCTTCATGCATTTTATGTTTTCGATAAAACAACGAAGAATTAATTTAAATTTTTGTATTTTATTCTTCTTAGTTTCATGATTATGATATGTAATGCATTCAAATGAGATGCAATGCCTCATCATTTACCTCAGCGTGCATACTTAACAAGTCACATGAACGTCTCGTACAAATTTTCAATTATATACATGTTCTAAATACATAAAATATGCATGAATCAATAAATAAATAAACACACATCAAAAACTCATTAATTTTGAACAATGGCCGAATTATTCAAGTGAAGTAACAAGATAATTTTCAACACTTATTCATCAATTTTTCATGCCATTTCATTCCTTTAAACCATAATAACACTATTATACTTGAATCAATTCCTTGATCCTTAAATCTTATATTAGGCCAAAACCTGAATTAGAGAATCAACATCCATTTCTCAATTTATTAACTCCAATCCCCTCATCTAATTTATCAATTAAACATATAATCAACTAATTTACTTAAGTTAGGCCAATCAAACCAAAGTATCTAAATTCCTTGATTATGGTCGAAAGTTCCTCTTAAGGTAGCTAATCTTAATTTTTCATTCTAACATATTCTAACATACTTAATTCACCTAATCCACACCTAATTAACACAAATCACATAAATCACCAACTTTCCCCAAAACTTAGGGTTAGGCCAAATTATTCAAGAACATAAACACAACTTTAATTCATCATTTCATTTAATTAGTCCTCCAAACATCAAAAACACCATTTCATCAACAATTCACCCAAATCAACCAATTTCATAAAAACTCACTAATTAAACGATCAATGCACACTCACCAAAAAGTCAACCTCCGGGGTTTGTGGATCCTCAATTTCCTGATCATATCTATAAACTTCATAAGTCACTGTATGGTTTGAAGCAGTCACCACGAGCATAATTCTCATACTTATAGGATTTTTTAATTGGATTCGATTTTGTAGGTTTAAAGGCTAACTCCTCTTTATTTGTCTACCAAGCCAAGGACTACAAAGTTTCTCTCCTACTTTATGTGGATGATATATTGGTCACCAAGAATAATCCCTCCGTTCTAAAATATGTAATCAATGCCTTGAATTCCCGTTTTGCTGCTAGGAACCTTAGGGACATAGGCTATTTTTTGGGCATTAAAGTGGTCAAAACAAAGAATGGCATCCTCTTGTATCAGCAAAAATATATTAGTGATCTTCTGACTAGATAGGGAATTTCATCTTACAGACTAGCGTCAACTCCTATGCCTACCTCGTCCAAATTAAGAAAGGATGGCAACACAATATTTGATGATTGTTCCATATATCATAAGGTGGTTGGGGTTCTCCAGTATGCTACTTTAACAAGGACAGATATTTCTTACGTTTTGAGCAAGGTTTGTCAGTTCATGCATCATCCATATTGTGATCACTAGTTTGTAGTAAAACGTATATTACGTCACCTTAAGCATACTTCTAGTCAGGGCATTCATATAAGACAATCAAAGACACACACCATAGTAGGCTTTTTAGATTCAGATTGGGTCGACTCCTTATATGATAGAAAATCAACCAGTGGCTATGTGGTCTACTTTGGGCTGAACCTTATTACTTGAAAGTTTTCCAAGCAGAAAATGGTGGCCCGTAGTTCTACTAAAGCAGAATATAAAGCAGTTGTTGATTTGGCTATAGAACTTTGATGGGTTAATTTACAGTTGGGTGAATTAGATATTTGTCACACCTCAAAGTTAATTATTTTGGTGAGACAATATTGGAGCAACTTACCTGATAGTTAATCCAGTGTTCCATCCACATAATAAACACATGGAAATCAATTTCTATTTTGTAAAAAATATGGTGACAAGCGGATGTTTATGAGCCAATTTTATTTCGACATAAGATCAAATAGTTGATATTCTAACAAAATCGTTGTCGAGTACACAATTTAGTTTCTTAAGGGACAAACTTAGTTGACGAATGCACACTATTGCTTTATGGGAGAGTGTTAAGCTAGTAACATAATCACAACCAAACTCTATCAATTCAAGAGTTGGGTTTCTAACCAAACACTACACTTAGATAGAAATTGTAACTAGATAGAGTTTGTATTTTCTTATCTGTATAACACTAAAAAAAATTGAGCTAAGTCCTAAGTAATATACTATAGAGAAACTTCATTTATAATATACTACTCTGTAGCTCAATTGTGTTCACCCCTGATGCACTCATGTCAAGAGCTGTGACAGAGTGGTTAGCTGCCTCCAGCATTGTCTTCACCTTGTACCATGTCCAAGCTCCTGAAGCTGAACCATGGATTAAAGCAAAATGCCTTGTTTGATTGTTGCTCTCTCCGTTTTTTTTTTTTTTTGGTTTGGCTAGATGGTACGTAATATTTTTGTAATGGCTTGATAGTGCTAAATAACGTCATCTCTTGGTGTTGAAACGTTGAACCTCGGAAATGTCAAGTTTCGATCAAGAACTCCTAGGCATTAATATTTCTTTGACTTGCGTATTTCTTTCTTAATGTTATTAACATGCAATGGGGAGGAAAATGCATTAAATCTGGGTATTCATTTCCGTTGACCATACGGAAGTTGAACTTTTTTTTTTTTTTTTTTGTCCTAAAAGAACTTCAAATAAGATTGCCAATGAATATATATTTAACATATCTTGTAATTAGACTCTTCTTGTTTAGTTGTTATATATATATATATATATATATATATATATATATATATATATATATTCCTACGAGTATCCTTTAAGTATATAATGTGTATCTGTCATCAAATATATATTAGATGACAATAGCTAATTAAAAAATGGTTAAAGCGGGTAAAATAAAGTAAAAACATTACATTCAAAGTTTGCTGACAACTTGCTTGTTGACCCAATGAATTATATTAGACTAGTCTGATTCAATTATCCAATCCATAATCAAAGAGGAGCTACTAATTAATGTCCATAGCTCTTTTGATAGCAAAAACTTTTGCCTACGTTATACATCTTGCATTCATTTCATTCAGTACGTTTCTATATTTCAATCGATTTTTAATACAAATTCACTTTTCTAATATGTTATTGCAATTCTCTATTAGTTTTTCTTTGATTTGAATCGTGAGTTGCATCACACTATCTCCGAACAAAGTTGAGGAAATTCGAATCCAATAAAGAGAAAGATTAATGGCATGAAACATCCTGCTAATCTTTTGATTTTTTAATGTACTTCCTTTTTCTTTTTCTTTTTTTATTCATTATCTTTTTTATTTTTGAATTATTTTTTAATGTAACCTTTCCAACTGTTTTCTAACTAATTTTTGGATCAAAATTATAGCTAGCATAGTAAATTCTAACCTTTCCGACACGTTAGATTAATTCAACATTTGAAAAAACAATAATTAAAAAAGCAATAATCTATCATCTCTTAAATGTTCTGATCAGCTCGATGAGAAACTGATCTTATTTAAAATTGATAGTCCGACAAGAATACATTAAATTATGAAAATACAAATAATTGATGCAGTGCCTTAGAATTGAAGACTTTTAAGATCATATCTAAGCGTGTTTACGTGCCAACTCCAGTATACCCTGACTGAGTTCTTTAGGCTTGGAAAAAACTGCCATATGATCTGCTGGAATATGCATCACTTCCTTAACCTCATTTTGTTCAATCATGAAACGCCGTAGTGATGGAGTAACCAATAAATCCTCAGGACAAGCAATATAAACTAGCGGAACTGATCCATATCTATCATTAGTGAACTTGTTCGCCTTGGACAGGCTTTCCAAAAACATTGATCCTGGTCTATTTAGAAGCGCTTGGAGAGTGAGATCCTGCAATATTTAAACAAGACAAATATCATTAGTATAAGTACTCTACTGGTTACTGATATATAAGAAACATCTGGTCACCTTAATTGGGGTAAGTTGAAAGAGCGTGGATGAATTGTTTTGCTGCTCTTCTGCACCCACCGATGGCGAACTGCTCTCGAGAAACTGACAAAATGGCCAAAATACCAGTTTGATCGATGTTAGAGGTGACAACATAGTACTGTTCGTGCATGACCTTAAAACTAATTGATTCTTATTGTAATATTCATTAAAAACACAGCAGGTGGTGATTAAGTACCTTCTCTAACATAAAAGATGGCCGGTGCTGAGTATCAGGCAAGATTGCTGTAACGAAAATTGCTAGAGAAATCTTCTCTGGGAACTTCTCCATAGCGAAAGCTAGGTTTAAGCCACCAAAACTATGCCCCACCAACACAACCTTTTCATCTTCAGGTAAGTTGGCGATGAACTCGATCAAGGGTTCGTTATATTGATCAAAAGTACGGACTTCTTCAAGTGTTTTTGTGTTCACCCCAGAAGCACTCATGTCAAGAGCGGTGACAGAGTGGCCAGCTGCCTCAAGCATTGGCTTCACCTTGTACCATACCCAAGCTCCTGCAGATGAACCATGGACTAAAACAAAATGAGTTGTGTGAGTGTTGCACTCTCCCATTTTTTTGGTTTGGTTAATTGATAATAAGTAACTTGGCTTGATAGCACGTAAGAATATTGCAATGGGTTGATGGTGCCTAGTCATGTCATTGCATTGTGTTATATAGACTTGGAAATGCCAAGTGGGCCGGCTGTTTTTGGTCAATCATTCATGTTTTTGGATTATATTAACTTGCACTGGGGAGGAAAATACGTGGATGCAAGCTTGACTAGTTCAATTTTGACGAGGTCAATCCTTTAATCCAAACCAAAAAGTCAAAATTTTTCTTCTCACAGTTTTAGACACTTAGCGAACATGTCTTGTAGCTAATTCTTTGGTTAATGGTTGGAGGGATCATTCTATTCTTTTTTTTTTTTCATTTTAATTTAATCTTTTTACGTTTGATTTTTTTTTTTAATATTATCATTTCATTAATTTTTCGTAGAAAAAGGTGAAACATACTGGCTGCTAATTTCTACAAAGCTTTGCCAGTAACGTGGCCGGGGGATGCGGTAACAAGCAATACAGCTACACCCACCATTTTCAAAAGTACGTTATGGTTTTTAAAATTGTGGTCAGATTTATGATCTACTGCTCATCTCCGGATGTCAACGCATATATATATATATATATATATGTATGAGAGTTTTAGGTACAATATCAATATGATGCAGCGAAAACTCACAAGAATAAAAATAAATATCGTTAATTTAAAATTCAGATATCGATCTATTATAACTTGTAGAATTGAGTAAAAATACTAAGAAATAGGTTTAATTTCGTTGATTCAAAAAAATGCTAAAAATTGGGACAAACTTAAGATACTTTCTCATAAATTTTTATTAATCAAAGAAAGTTGCATTTTTTTGCCTTTAAGTCATACATAAATAGGAAAATTCAACCAAAACCCTAAAACAATTCCAAAATGAAACAAATACAAAAATTCCAAAAATAAACATTTTTGAATGTCAACTCTCTTATATATGATAAGAATAAGATTTGCTAGTCTTTATCCTTCTTCTCTCTATATATGAGCAAAAATACTAGGAAATAAGTTTAATTCCGTTGATTCAAAAAATGCTGAAAATTGAGATAAACTTGAAATACTTTCTCATAATTTTTTATTAATTAAAGAAAGCTGCATTTTTTTGCCTTCAAGTCATACATAAATAGGAAAATTCGACCGAACCCTTAAACAATTTAAAAAGGAAACAAATACAAAAATCCACAAAAATAAACATTTATGAACATCAACTCTCATATATATGATAAAGATAAGATTTGCTACTCTTTATCTTTCTTATCTCTCGTATAATGAGAGAGACAGATGTATGCTCTCTAATTCGGGCTTGAAAAAAGATTTATGGATTAAAGCGAGTTAACATAACTTGTTATCTTGTTAACTATTCTCCCTCTACTACTATTGATTGTAAGATTCCAAACAAGGTATGGTCAAGTAAGCCTAGTGATTATTTAAACTAAAAAGTATTTTGATGCCCTAGTTATTATTATGTTAAAGATGGTAAACTTGAACCTAGAGCAAAGAAATGCATATTTGTTGGCTATGTTGATAGGATGAAAGGTTATCATCTATGGTGTCTTGAACCCAATTCATCTAAATTCATTATTAGTAAAGATGTTACTTTTATGAGAGATATATGCTTGATCAAGGAAATATTGTTTATGAGTCTACGAAAAGAGTGAGAAAGGTGTGGATAAGGTGGAGCTTCGATGGAGTTTAAAAGAGAGACTCCTCAACCATCCCTAGATGTATCTCCTATAGTTGCGGACGTGTAATAAAATTCAGATATGAATGAAGATACCATAAAATCTAAACGACCTTACTTAATAGGTACTAGTCGAGAGAGAAGATATATAAGATCTTTACGAAATATATTTATGCTAATCTACTAGCTAGTGCCCTCACCGAAGTCGAGATAATGGATATTAAGGAGCCTTTTACCTATACAAAGATAGTGATTTTTGAAGAGTTTAGTCGATGAGTTGTTATAATGATAGAAAAACTCGAGTCATTCTACAAAAATCAAACTTGAAATTTGATGAAATTACCTCATAATAACGATCACGGGATGCAAATAGGTCTTTAAAAAAAAAAAAAAAAGAAAAGAAAAGAAAAGAGGAATACTAGGTATTGAAGATGTTAGATTCAAGGCACAATTGGTTGATTATAGTTAGAAGGAGGGAATTGATTACAATAAAGTATTTTCTTCGATTGTGAAACTTACCACTATTCGTGTGTTGCTTGCTATAGTGACTCAATATGATTTAGAGCTCGAGCAACTTGATGTAAAAATAGCTTTTATTAATTCAATTAAGTACTTGAATTATTTTAAATTTTAAAGCCCGCTCAAATACACTCTAAATGCTCAAAAATATTAAATCAAATGCAAAAAATATAATTTTCTTTTCAAAACTCCACCTCTTTTTCCAATCACTCGGGGCCACAAAATCATCACCGACAAATTTTTGTTGTGAATATGAACAAGTGGACAACAATGTTGCAAGATCACGGGCATGAAAAGCGGGTTGGTGAAACATCTTTTCTCTCTCCTTTGCTCTTTCTCATGCAACATCTAGGGACCGATTTGCAAGATGAATGAAGTTTGTGAACCATTCTAAAGAAACCTCAAACTCCAATGACCAAACCAAAATCATATTTAAAAAAAAAAAAATACACTTAAATTTTGTCCCAAAACCACGTCTTTTTAAGCCAAACCCAACTGAAATGACATTGAATAGCATACAACAGTGCTGGATGAACAGCACATTGAGTCCTGGGCTGCTGTAAAAGCCCATCATCTTTTATTTTTATTTTTTTAATTAATTAGGACACTGTTTTAATTAGTATCAGTATCAAAATCTAATATAATATTCATGTTATGAAAATTATATAATGTGAATCTTATGAGATTTGGTGATATAATGATAATTACCGAATGCATTAACTAATAAATGTCCAATCACAGCCTGCTATGTCATCTAGTTAAAAAACGTTAGTAGAGAATTAAGTATCTTTTCTGCTGTGCATCAGCAGGCTGAAACTTATTTACTCTAATAATTTGCAAAGAGTAGCAATTGATAACATCGAAAGTGTTTCTTAACAATCTCCTGGAGGCAAGAGCAGATTTCTTGAGAGGGGAGACGCCTTCAAAGTGAAAGAAGGCAAATAGTAGCAAGTTCGTACAAGCAAAAGTGATAATTGAGCATCAAAAGTATTTCTTGGCAATCTCCAGGAGGCAAGAGCACGTCTCTTGTGGTTTAGAAAACATGAGCATGTGATCAGAACCAGGGACAGCCATTACCTCATCAGGTGGATTATTTTCAATCATCCATCTCTGAAAATCTTCCTTTATTATGTTATCTTCATCACACACGATATAAGCTCGGGGAATGGATCCATATTTCTCCTTCGTAACCCCCACTTTTTCTTGAGTTGCCTCGTCACTAAACAAAGGGTGAGGTCGCAACAGCAACATTGCTAGCGTAAGATCCTGTTCAAGGGTTTTTTTTTTTTTTTTTTTGGTAATAAAAAATCAGCACTAGAAATAAATTCAACCAAATACAAAATATACCTAAATCGGGTATGAAGAGATGCTCTTTACCTTAGTAGGGGAGAGCTGATATAACTGGGTTGACATGCAGTCGGGCCCAATCAACCCGGATGTTGGAGGATTGTTGAGCCCATTATCAAACATATATTGTAAGTCCATGATGGAACCCACTCGTCTCCCATGCTGATGATAACATTTAGAGAAAGTCACAAGGTTGCGTTATTATTCCCACTCCTGAAGTGATAATTCTCTTTGAATTATATATATATATATATATATATATATATATATATGAAAATGATTTTCAATATAATAAAAGTCATTGATATGTTGAATAAATATGCATGTACCTCTTCTCTTGTAGCTGTGAAGCTGAGGTCAGGACCTGGCATGAAAGCTGTTGCAAAGACAGCAGAAGAAATTTTCTCAGGGAACCTTTCCATTGCAACAGATATACTTAGTCCACCCATGCTGTGACCCACTAGAATCACCCTTTCTTCTGGCAGCAAAGATTCCATGAATTTCATCAATGGCTCAAAATAGTCTGAGATTGATTGGAGCTCGTCTACCCGCTTAGGATGGACCCCAGAAGCAGCCATGTCCAGAGCTGTAACTTGGTGACCAGCTGATTTAAGCAAAGTTGCCACCTTATACCAACACCATGCTCCGTGACAGGCTCCATGGACTAGCACAAAATGCCTCTGACTCTCCATCTCCTACCACTCGTAACTCTACCGTCCTATCTCTTGTGTCAGGATATCGTCCTGCTGGCTACATTATAATGTGATTGGAGGAGTCGAAGTTAGCCGGCGGAGTTTTTTTTTTTTTTTTTTTTAAATGATGAGTTGCTATAAATACAAAATTTCACATCTGTCGGGTCACATCTGGAAAATTCAAGGCCTTTTAAATTGTCATTTCACAGTCCCTTGATAGCATCTCCATTTAACCATAAGTAGTAATCCTCCTGGGATAAGCCGGACACATGTAGACAGAGAAAGAGGGGTTCCTATCCCTGCTGCAGAGACCAAACTTCAGTTTGTGCAATCAAGTTTTCTTTATTATGCTCTTATTCGGCTTCATTGCCCAAAAAAAAAAAAAAAAGAATGGTGTAAGTTCAAGTGTTAAAATCAGGTAGATGCAATCTTCATTAGGATGGTCATGCTGCAGAAGCAGAACAAGTCCAATTTCAAATGTGCTTCTTTGCACCGAAGTTTCTGAAAACGGAAGCATCCGCAGAACAGCAATTATGAGGATCACCATCCCAAGTGTCACAAGTCACAACTCTGACCAACATGGATCTCATCCATGGAATCCCAAGGCACATTTGACAGAACCCACATACACTCCAACAAGTTGATTGTCACACTCTTGCTTCAAATGTTTCAAAAGTCAACTGACAGGAGAAGCATCTGTCAAAAAAAAAAGACTACAAGAACATTGCCCACGAAATGTTGTAAGTATTGGCTATCAACTATATCTAGGTTGAGAGAAGGCATGCAGTACATACATTCTATTAGAATTCATTTTTGTATTTATGATTAGACCTCTCTCAGGAAGAAACACCTTACACCTTTTGCTTTGAAATAGAATGTCAAGGCCCTTGTCTTGAAACTGTCAAATGCTTAGCAAATTATTCTTCAGCTCAGGTACAAAAAATACATCTGTAATAACTTGTACTGCTTCATTCATCCACAACCTTAATTGCATTGCCTTTTCTAGTGACTTCCATTCTTGAACCATTTCCCATCTTCACAGAGTCTCTGTGACTTTGTTCACTTTAAGAAGGATTAGTATGCACATACAAACAAATGCAAAGGCATTATCAATTGTTTCTAACCTCAAAATGGTGTTTTGACCTTCTTTTTAGTATGCTGAAATCGGTCCCAAGGGAGAAGAGTGGCAAGACACAGTGTTTTTCATTCTATGGAACCCCTGAAGAACCGAATACATGTGCATAGATGATTTTCATCTGCACCATTTGGGTTTGGTAATTAGTTTTTGAAGTGTGATCAGTTTCTGTTTGTGCTTAGTTATTTCCATTACTTTACCTCATTAATCTTTTGAGCACTGGTTACACTTTTGTTATCATTATTCCCAGGAGTTTTGATGTTTTTCACTTTCCCTGTGTTAAACTTGCTAGCTCCTCAATTACTCCCCTTCTTATGATCATCAAACAGAGTTGCTTCCTTGCATGATATGTCCACTTCTGCCCCTGGCAGTTCAGCAGAACTAAAATGGAATTTATGTCACCAGAACAAGACTTCAAAACCCAAAAATCATATCTCATTCGGAATAGATGCTATAAGTTCCATTGCACTGTGAGCATCATGGAAGAGATGAAACCAAGAAACATGGTGAGATTTAATGCATAAAATGAATCAAGCACATCGATGATGTTTCTATATAATTCTAATTAAACCCAATTTCTGTTGTTTCCTATTGCTTCTCTCTTGTGTTGTGCATCGCTTGCAATCTGCAATAAGTTCACAGATTATTTACAAGTATTTATCACCAATGTCCTGGAGGCAAGAGCAGAGCTCTTGTGGTTTAGAAAACATGGCCATGTGATCAGAACCAGAGATGACCATCACTTCATCCACCGGATTGTTTTCAATCATCCATGTTTGCTTAGGATCATTTTCTTGTTCACATACTATATAAACCCGGCGAACAGATCCATATTTCTCCTTGGTGACAATTACAGCATTTTCAGTTTCTGAACTACTGTATATAGGAAAAGGTCTGAGCAACAATGTAGCTAGCATCAAATCCTGGATCAATTTATAATGGTTAGAAATTATAATAAGCCTAATCAGGTTAATGTGCGCTGTATTTTTCCTGGAAAGCGAAAAGCGAGGTCTTACCTCAGGTGGGGAAAGGTGGTAGAACCTGGATGCCATGTAGTTGGGACCAAGGACTAAGGCAGTCGGAGGGTTGTCAGGGCCATTTCCAAACAAATATTTTGTATCCATGTAGGAGATTGGCGTTGGAGAAGACTGCAAATGATTGCAAAGTAGGTATCATTAGCTAGTCCATTCACCAGACACAAATGCTAATAACTCATTAATAAAAACAAACCAGTAACTAAAAAAAGAAAAAAAAAACCCAAAAAGGTCTGAAACCTCTCCTCCAGTAAATCTCTATTCAGCATTCTGTAATTACCCTATAAACATAACCAACAGGTAACTTGACATTAGATCATTCAGCTTAAAAGTTCTGAAAGAACCTTACTAAATTTTCATCCAAAGCAATAGCAACTTAAGTTGATAACAAACAGCATATTGGAGTATTGGATTGATCACAAGCTTTTGAACCAAGCTATAAAACACATGCAGGAAAAAATCCCATTCTCTAATAATTTCTCACCAGGTCCAAAGCATAGACAACAACATCAGCAATCTTCTTGCCTTAGACAAAGTCTGGCTAGTTATAGCAAATGAAGTTTGGTAAATTACCACTATTTATTCAATTAGCGAAACTTCGCAAATGATAACACATTTATAACTACCAGTATTGCAGACAGAAAAATGGCTAAATGCATAAATCCGTATATTAGTGTTCTTTTTAGTTTGGAACAGAAGATATCGCTTAAACCGCTTGGAAGTAGCTTACATAGAGAAACGGATAGACTGGCTAATCTCCTCCATAGAGTTTCTTTTCTTCGTTAATTTTCCTATAATTATTAACGACACACTACCAATAATATTCTGTCATGCTCTCACATTGACAGACTTATGAAAAAGAACTATGTTGATCCTCGAGCTATATTACTGAAATCGAGCCCAACTGGTTCAAGCAATCAAGCCCTTCTTTAGTGGATCCATCTTCAGGAAGCTGCAATAAAAGCTTCTGCACATCCGCTAAGTTCTCAGGAACCCACCGTCTTAAAAAAATCACCATTATAAGGACCCTTATTTGAGTTAGTCTTCAGCAGCAACTTCTTGCAGAATTGGAGAATAGGGATCCTGTCAATGACTAAGTTCCAAACTCACTTGAACTTAACATATTTGGACCCAAAATGTTAAAATTCTAAACTTCACCTCTAATGAATTCAATCACATAAATATCCCCAAGCACCATATAAGCATCATTCCAATTCAACTGCATGCCTGGGATGCTTATATGCATTTATACCATCTGAATTACTAATCTAAACCATACAAGGGGTGCATTTCAAAATTTAATCAACTCATTATTAAACCAACTAGTTAATGGTGTCCACAAAATTAGACTTAGGCATGAACATAATATTAACTTGCTATTGCTTTGATGAAGGGGAGAGAGCAAATGGTACCTTTTCTGCTATTGCTTTGAAGCTTAAATCAGGACCAGGCATAACGGCTGCAGCAAAAACGGCAGCTGAAATTTTCTCTGGAAACCTTTCCATAGCAACAGAAATGCATATCCCACTCATGCTATGTCCCACTAGGACCACTCTCTCTTCTGGTGGCAAAGACCCCATGAATTCCATCAAGGGCTCAAAATAGTCCTCCAATGAATGGAGCTCATGAACTTGCTTTGGATGCACCCCTGATGCAGCCATGTCCAAAGCTGTAACATTATGACCTGAAGATTTTAGCTGAGCCGATACTTTATACCAACACCATGCTCCATGACAGGCTCCATGGACTAAAACAAAATGCCTCTGCGTTTTAACATTACTAGGCAGTTTTGCACAAGCTATGGTGGACACTCCTGTGGACAGAAGTTTTTGTGATGGGGTAGCAGATTTTGGGAAAAAGAGAAGCGCATCTTGTCTCTTCCATGTTTCCAGAGGGAAAAAGATTGGTTTCACTGAAAGAGACAGAGAATTGAAGAACATTTCTACTCTTGATTTTGATCCAGATTTTGATTAGAGTCAAAAATGGGGCACGTTACTGCCAGCGATTTTAATCCTCATTATTATTATCTTTTTCTCCTTTTTTTTTTCTTTTTTTTGAAAGTATGTTAGGTTTTGTTATCATCAAAGTATGCACTGCAAGAGTCCAATTTGGACCACAGACAGCGTCTATTGCTTATCTTCTTTGCAATAATGATGCGATGTAAGAGGTCCCCTTGGTGGGCATAAACTTGTCTTATCAGAGTTACATTCAAGAAAGTGCTTGGTTGGTACCTCCTGTTCTGGTTAGTTTACCTGGTAAAAAGTATTCTCATTATACCCAAAAATAGTCTAAAGGAGATTACTTGGGTTATCTAAGAACCCTATTACTGCATTATTATTATTATTATTATTTCTGAGTAAACACAGAGGGGAGAAGCCTTCAAAGTGAAAGAAGGCAAATAGTAGCAAGTTCGTACAAGCAAAAGTGATAATTGAGCATCAAAAGTATTTCTTGGCAATCTCCAGGAGGCAAGAGCACGTCTCTTGTGGTTTAGAAAGCATGAGCATGTGATCAGAACCAGGGACAACCATTACTTCATCAGGTGGATTATTTTCAATCATCCATCTCTGTAAATCTTCCTTCATTATGACATCTTCATCACACACGATATAAGCTCGGGGAATGGATCCATATTTCTCCTTCGTAAACCCCAACTTTTTTTGAGTTGCCTCGTCACTAAACAAAGGGTGAGGTCGCAGCAGCGACATTGCTAGCGTAAGATCCTGTCAAGGTTTTTTTCAAAAAATATATATATGTATCAGCAGCAAAAAAGAAAATTCAACCAAATGTACTTAAATCATCTGTATCAAGAGAGCTGTTTACCTCAGAAGGGGAGAGATGGTACAACTGGATTGACATGCAGTCGGGCCCAAACAACAAGGACGTTGGAGGATTGTTGGGCCCATTATCAAACATATATTGCGAGTCCATGAAGGAACCTAATCGACGGCCATACTGATAATACATGTTCAAAGTAAATATCACGGGTCAACATACAGAGAAAGTTTAGCGGTGGCGTTATTAAGCACACTTTTTGTGTGTGTGTATATATATATATATATATGTCATGATATTATAAACATCATAAATATCTAACCCAGACAAGGTTGAAAAGAAGATAAGATCAAGCTTAAGGTCCATCTTTAAACCAGACAATTTTGTCAAACAGGATGAAATTTGTGCCAGGACAATGCATTCCCAGCCACTGAAAATCAGGTGGAATCAAATGCAAGCCAATCTAATTTGCTGGCTTGTATAGAAAAAGCTACCACCATATGGATATCCAATGTAGCAAGCATAGAAGATCTGAAATAACACAAGCCTGGGCAAACAATAACAGCCCTATATATAACTAAATAAGACATCAAGAAAGCATAGAGTATAGAATCATGCTCCTTGCTTCTCTTCTTCCTTAAGAAAATAACTCTTCTCTGGAAGCATTTAAGTTTGTCTGTGTGTGTGTGTGTGTGGATAGAGGGAAAGAGCAAATGATACCTCCTCTCTTGCAGATGTGAAGGTGAGGTCAGGACCTGGCATGATAGCTGCTGCAAAGACTGCAGAAGAAATTTTCTCAGGGAACCTTTCCATTGCAACAGATATACATAGTCCACCCATGCTGTGACCCACTAGAATCACCCTTTCTTCTGGTACCAAAGATTCCATGAATTTCATCAATGGCTCAAAATAGTCTGAGATCGATTGGAGCTCGTCTACCCGCTTAGGGTGGACCCCAGAAGCAGCCATGTCCAGAGCTGTAACTCGGTGACCAGCTGATTTAAGCAAAGTTGCCACCTTATACCAACACCATGCTCCGTGACAGGCTCCATGGACTAGCACAAAATGCCTCTGCCTCTCCATCTCCTACCACCCCTGACTCTTGCTTTCCTATACTGTGTGTGTATTTTGTCCTGCTGGCTATATTATAGTATGATTGGAGGAGTCCAAGTTAGCTGTTAGCTGTTATAAATACAAAAAGGCTGTCGTGTCACATTTGGAAAATTCAAAGTCCTTCTAAATTGTCATTTCACCGTCCCTTGATAGCATCTCCATTTGACCACAAGTAGGCATTGTGCAATCAAATTTTCTTTGTTATGCATCTATTCCAGAAATTTTATCAGACTCTAAACGTAACTAATAATATTTATTTCATTTACTTCAAAAATAACTAATAATATTTGTTTCGTAAAAAAAAAAAATAAACACAAGAAAAATAGAGAAATAAAAAAGAGAAAATTTATAAAAAAATGACTCTAAATAAAAATATTTTTTATAAATTTTGATGCATCTAGACATAATTTTTTTTCTTTTTCTCTTTTTTTTAAAGTCGGTTTATGGCGTAGTGGAAACTCACAAGAAAGAAAATAAATACAATTAATCTGAAATCTAGATGCCAGTCTATTATAACTTGTTGAATTGCATACAAATACTAAAAAATAGGCTTCAATTCCGTTGATTCAAAAAATATCGAAAATTAAGATAAACTTGAGATACTCTCTCATAAATTTTTATTAATCAAAGAAAACTGCGTTTTTTAGCCTCCAAGTCATACATAAATAGGAAAATTCAGTTAAAACCTTAAAACAATTCAAAAAGGAAATAAATACAAAAAAAAAAAAACCAAAAAATAAGAAAAAATCTAGAAAAATAGTAAAAATCAATTTTGAAGGGGTCTAAACAGTGTTTTTTTTTGCTAAAATCACCACTACATCATCAACATAGCCCATGAGTTTTGCTCGTTGGCCTATTTGGCATCGACTTAGACTAAAAAAACCTCGAAATTGAGTCGACAATTTTTTTCAACTTCTATCATATTCATAGCGTTTTAGAAATTCCAAAACCTATTAGTCTGCATCAGTTTATCTTTCCAAAATCAGCCCATAAAACACCTATCGTTAGTTAAATTTTGAATATTTTAGAATTTCTCCATGTATCGGCTTCCTTCCAAAAAAAAAAAAAAAAAGAAAGAATTATGTAAGTTCAAGTGTTATAATCAAGTAGATGCAATCTTCTTCAGAAGGATGGTCATGTTGCAGAAGCAGCACAAGCCCAATCTCTAATAGATCTATAATATATTGATTATATTGGGTCAAGTGTACAGGTCCGTTATGCTTTTTTTATAATAACTCTAGTTTAAATAACCATCATATTTGATAAATTCTTTTAGTAAAATAATGCTTAACTTTCTTCTCTCTTTTTTATTATTATGAAGCTAATTTGAACTATTTATTTAAATTGATTTCTTTCCTCCCTTTTTTATATTTTTTAGTTATTCGTTATTTGCATTTATTTCATTGTTTTTATTATTGTTGTTTTTTTTTTATAATTACTAGAAAAAACTCCTATATTTTATATTCAAGTTGTTCATGAATATGTCTATGTGAATCCAATTAATTTTCTCAGACTTCTATATATCTTCAATGATGATGGATTTTTTTTCTACGAAATATTGCCTACAATGTGCTTGGGTTTACTTTTAGCGTCATAGGTCTACGTCATTTGCAATTGATTTCTTAGGGAGTCTTGGAGCAAGTTTTCGTATAAAAGAATTGGTCCACTATATTCTCTCTAAGAAAGTTGAAAAATGAGCAATAACTCTTTGAAGTAGTGAATTGAATGATCTCAATTATTCAACTTGGCATTAATTCTTAGTTTGAATTCCACAACTGACATCAACTTCTTGCTTACATTTTGTTGACCAAGGCTCTATCCTAATACTGTGAGGTTGTCCAACCTTTAAAGTAAAATTTAAGTTTCTGGATCTAGCTCCTCCTAGAATAGAAATTGAAGTCCAACTGTAGTCTTACTGCTACCTAAATTGAACCACACGTCTCTGGCTTTCATTTTGATAGCTAAAACCTTCATTTGGCCAATATTTTATTGATTTATTCGATTCCAAAAATCTTTCATCGTTTCTTACAAAAACTTGTTCTAAGTTGTTGGCTAGCCATTAGTTTTATATTTATTTGATTTGTCACTCTAATTTGGTATTCAGAAAACCAGACATGACACCAAAGCTAATTGTGGTTTGTAGATTTGATGGAGAATTTTGTCAAGATGAAAGTAAGGACGCCTATATTGGAGAACAAGTCTATGCTATTGAAGCCTTCAAAGTGAAAGAAGGCAAATAGTAGCAAGTTCGTACAAGCAAAAGTGATAATTGAGTATCAGAAGTATTTCTTGGCAATCTCCAGGAGGCAAGAGCACGTCTCTTGAGGTCTAGAAAACATGAGCATGTGATCAGAACCAGGGACAACCATTACTTCATCAGGTGGATTATTTTCAATCATCCATCTCTGTAAAGCTTCCTTTATTATGACATCTTCATCACACACGATATAAGCTCGAGGAATGGATCCATATTTCTCCTTCGTAACCCCCACTTTTTTTGAGTTGCCTCGTCACTAAACAAAGGGTGAGGTCGCAGCAGCAACATTGCTAGCGTAAGATCCTGTCAAGGTTTTTTCAATATATATCATATATATATATATATATATATGTATCAGCAGTAAAAAAGAAAATTCAACCAAATATACTTAAATCTTGTATGAAGAGATGCCGTTTACCTCAGTAGGGGAGAGATGATACAACTGGGTTGCCATGCAGTCGGGCCCAAACAACAAGGACGTTGGAGGATTGTTGGGCCCATTATCAAACACATATTGCGAGTCCATGAAGGAACCTACTCGTCTGGCATACTGATAACACATGTTCGAAGTAAATATCACGGGTCAACATACAGAGAAAGTTTAGCGGTTGCGTTATTCGCCCACTCTTTGTTTTATATATATATATATATATATATTTTTTTTTTTTTTTTTTCATGATATTATAAACATCATAAATATCTAACCCAACAAGGTTGAAAAGAAGAAAAGATCAAGCTTAAGGTCCATCTCTAACCCAGACAATTTTGCCAATCTAATTTGCTGGCTTGTATAGAAAAAGCTACCATCATATGGATATCCAATGTAGCAAGCATAAAAGATCTGAAATAACACAAGCCAGGGCCAAAAATAACAGCCCTACAACTAAGTAAGACATCAAGAAAGCATAGAGTATAGAATCATGCTCCTTGCTTCTATTCTTCCTTTAGAAAATAATGCTTCTCTGGAATCATTTAAGTTTGTCTGTGTGTGTGTGTGTGTGGAGAGAGGGAAAGAGCAAATGATACCTCTTCACTTGCAGATGTGAAGCTGAAGTCAGGACCTGGCATGATAGCTGCTGCAAAGACTGCAGAAGAAATTTTCTCAGGGAACCTTTCCATTGCAACAGATATACTCAGTCCACCCCTGCTGTGACCCACTAGAATCACCCTTTCTTCTGGTACCAAAGATGCCATGAATTTCATCAATGGCTCAAAATAGTCTGAGATCGATTGGAGCTCGTCTACCCGCTTAGGGTGGACCCCAGAAGCAGCCATGTCCAGAGCTGTAACTCGGTGACCAGCTGATTTAAGCAAAGTTGCCACCTTATACCAACACCATGCTCCGTGGCAGGCTCCATGGACTAGCACAAAGTGCCTCTGCCTCTCCATCTACTACCACTTCTCACTCTTACTTTCCTATCCTGTGTGTCTGGATTTTGTCCTGCTGGCTATATCATAGAATGATTGGAGGAGTCCAAGTTAGTTGGCAGAGCTTTTTGTGATAAATAAAAAATTTCGCAGCTGTCGTGCCACAGTTTGAGTATGTTTGGTTTGGTTATCATCAAAGTATGCACTGCAAGAGTCCAATTGGGACCACAGACAGCGCCTATTGCTTATCTTCATAGCAATAAATAAGCAATGTAATAGGTCCCCTTGGTGGGCATCCACTTGTCTTATGAGAGTTACATTCAGAAAGTAGGGAAAAGAAAAATTCATGAACCCTATTAATGTATTAGTATTGTTATTATTATTATCATTATTTCTGACCAAACACAAAGGGGAGAAGCCTTCAAAGTGAAAGAAGGCAAATGGCAGCAAGTTTCTACAAGCAAAAGTGATAATTGAGTATCAAAAGTATTTCTTGGCAATCTCCAGGAGGCAAGAGCACGTCTCTTGTGGTTTAGAAAACATGAGCATGTGATCAGAACCAGGGACAACCATTACTTCATCAGGTGGATTATTTTCAATCATCCATCTCTGAAAATCTTCCTTCGTCAGGTTATCTTCCTCACACACAATATAAGCTCGGGGAATGGATCCATATTTCTCCTTCGTAACCCCCACTTTTTCTTGAGTTGCCTCGTTTCTAAACAAAGGGTGATGTCGCAACAGCAACATTGCTAGCGTAAGATCCTGGCCAAGGTTTTTTTTTTTTTTAATAAAAAAATCAGCAGTGGAAAATAAAATTCAACCAAATACAAAATATACTTAAATCAGGTATGAAGAGATGCTCATTACCTCAGTAGGGGAGAGCTGATACAACCTGGTTGACATGCAGTCGACCCCAGTCAACAAGGACGTCGGAGGATTGTTGGGGCCATTATCAAACATATATTGCGAGTCCACGAAGGAACCTACTCGTCTAGCATACTGATAATACATCATAAATATTATAAACATCATAAATATCTAACCCAAACAAGGTTGAAAAGAAGATAAGATCAAGCTTAAGGTCTGTTATAGGCAAAATTTCAGGCTTTTTTTTTTTTTTTTAAGTACAGTTCGATGTCGGGTAACGACAAGATACATGTGTAACGCATTTCATTTTGTACGTCGGTTAGCGACAGGTTACATGTGTAACGCATATAATTTTGTCAAACAGGATGAAATTTGTGCCAGGACAACCCATTATCAGCCACTAAAAATCAGGGGGAATCAAATGCAAGCCAATCTAATTTGCTGGCTTGTATAGAAAAAGCTACCACCATATGGATATCCAATATAGCAAGCATAAAAGATCTGAAATAACACAAGCCAGGGCCAAAAATGACAGCCCTATAACTAAATAAGACATCAAGAAAGCGTAGGGTATAAAATCATGCTCCTTGCTTCTCTTCTTCCTTGAGAAAATACTCTGTGCGTATGTGTGCGTGTGGAGAGAGGGAAAGAGCAAATGATACCTCTTCACTTGCAGATGTGAAGCTGAAGTCAGGACCTGGCATGGTAGCTGCTGCAAAGACTGCAGAAGAAATTTTCTCAGGGAACCTTTCCATTGCAACAGATATACATAGTCCACCCACGCTGTGACCCACTAGAATCACCCTTTCTTCTGGTACCAAAGATTCCATGAATTTCATCAATGGCTCAAAATAGTCTGAGATCGATTGGAGCTCGTCTACCCGCTTAGGGTGGACCCCAGAAGCAGCCATGTCCAGAGCTGTAACTCGGTGACCAGCTGATTTAAGCAAAGTTGCCACCTTATACCAACACCATGCTCCGTGACAGGCTCCATGGACTAGCACAAAGTGCCTCTGCCTCTCCATCTACTACCACTTCTCACTCTTACTTTCCTATCCCGTGTGTCTGGATTTTGTCCTGCTGGCTATATCATAGCATGATTGGTGGAGTCCAAGTTAGGTGGCAGAGCTTTTTGTGATAAATAAAAAATTTCGCAGCTGTCGTGCCACAGTTGGAAAATTTAAAGTCCTTCTAAATTGTCATTTCACCGACCCTTCATTTGACCAGCTGATTTATTTGTCTTCTTCTGTGATGCTTTGTCATTTATGCTTAATACATTTTGTACACCGTAAACACACAACGCAAACATATTGTTTAGGCCATTGGTTCATGAGATATGAAAGAAATCTGTGAAAATTCACATAACTTCTCGTATATGACCTACCTCTCTATATGATATACTTGTTATATCGATATTCATGAGAACTTTTGCTTCTAGGTAGTCTGGTGAATAATTTATTTAGTAACAATTGCAAGTCTATTAGTTCAGACTCCTTAGATAGTTGTTACTGTCATCATGTCTTTATTTTATAGTTGTTTCTTTTAATTTGGCTTTTCATTGTGTTGTTATGTCCACATATCATGTCTTTATGCTTTTCCTCTCAATTATCAACGCCAGCAATGAGGCATTGTTGAGTTATATTTTTTTACCATTTACAACAACAACAGAATGCCAAACTCTCCATCACTCTTTTACTGAGAATTTGCTCCAAGCATCTAATGTAGTTTTTTTCTTCCATAGCAACTCTGGCTGCATTATCTACCAAGGCTTGACAAGCCCGAGTTAGTCCATCATAAAAGAATTTTCCTATAAATTTATTGTACAGTACCGCATCCTATGCATGAAGTGAAGCAATTAAAGTGATTGTTGCAAAAGGTTATTGCGGCATCCTTCAACGTGTAAGGAAAGAATCTCATTCGCAATTGCTCCGGTCAACAACTGCAGAGGAAAAGTTTATATTATTGAGAACATATATGTGAAGGAGTTCTTGAGAACATTTTAATGATAAGTTAGTAGACATATCAAAGTACTAAGAGGTAGTATTATAACTTGTAAAAATAATGATAAGCCAATCAATTAAGATGGATAAAAATAGTGAGTGCACATGGAAGGAGGGGAAAACAATGCTAACAAGAAAAAAAGGTCTCGTGGCTTGTAGGTGATAAATAGATGAGTAATTAAAGTCTGAGTAAGTGAAACTTTAAAAGTTGTGAGATATGAGTTTGTAAGAGTTATAAGGAAAAGAGTTTAAATTTTTAACTTAAAAAAAATTAAAAAATAATTGGAATTTCTTCACAATTTATATGAGATTTGTATTTATAATGAAAGAACGACTCTCTTCACCTTTAGAATTGCAATATGTCATTTAGGTTTGGATGCTAGAATTTGAATTAGAATAAAAAAAAAAAAGGATTCAAAAGGAAAATGAGCTTCTTTTACACTAAACTGTTTCAACTTGTTAATGAAAGTTAAAAAAAATAATAATTGAATTTTTTTTAAGTAGATCCTACTCTAAATCTACCAACACCTTACTAATGCAATTTCTAAGATAAAGCATGAATATTAACCCTACTAAAACATTCATGTCTATTTTTGCACGATCTGGTGCCTTGCACCAGATAAAGCCCATCACCAATACAATACACTTGTTTTGTAGTTTAAATTCATGTCAGGTTAAAAAAATGAGTTAGTACATAATTAATTAAATCATTTAAGTAAATTTTATGGACAAATTGAACATATACAATTAGGCATTTAAACAAACTAAAAAAAAAAAAAAATTGGGTACTAAGATTGAAGTTTTCTTAGTTAGACTCTAATGATGAAATACAAGGTTTTTTTCTTTCTTTCTTTCTTTATTTATTATTATTATTGAGTCTCCATGTTTTGTTTTGATTGTAACTTGGTCTTTGTGTTGGTTTGTCATGACAATTAATTTTATTTTTTTGGCCTAAAATATCCTTCATTTGTAAAATTCTACAATCAAAATTAAAATTAAATTTAAAAAGGGTAATTTAGAATTTTTCTAAAAACAAAAATCAACAGTTAACTTTGGTCAACTTCCATCTAGAGACTAACTTATGCTTTTCAAAAAACAAAGGACTAACTTATAAAATCATCAAAAACACAGGAACTAAATTATAATTTACTCAAACGAAAAGAGAATAACTAAATAAGAAAATCTAGCTACCAGACGTATATGCTTATACAATTCACTCTCCGTGTCTGAAGGAGGACAATACGCGAAAGAATTGGTTTTGGATTTGAGTTCGTGACTACTTGGTTTTTTTATTATCATTATTTATTTTATTTTGATCCTGTACTTGCTTTTGGATCTACGTAGGTTAGATCCATTTTCATTTTTCAATATGTATGTACATATGTCATCCTCCACTTTGAATATGAATGCCCAGATTGAATGCATTCCCCACCTTCAATGCATCTTAAGATCGTCAAGATCCATTCATTGGGATCGGAGATGGCTACTATGCAACAAGAATAAATTATTAGTAATTATTAAAAAAAAAAAAAAAACATGAAGGCTTGATGCTTCTTCACGATAAAAAGGCACATGGAGTTTCCATCTTTTCACAATACAGTAATCTCTTTATATACCACCAAAGAAAGAACTTTATTGCCATCAAGTCAAACAGAAAAAAGATAGGAGAGGCCAACAATCAAAAAAGGCATTTTGTTTTGATCCATGGTTCAGCTGCAGGAGCTTGGATATGGTACAAGGTGAAGCCAGTGCTACAGGCAGCTGGCCACCGTGTCACAGCTCTTGACATGGCAGCATCAGGGGCGAACACAAAAACTATTGAAAGAGAACAGATTAAAAAACACAGTTGTATTAGAAATTAATTGAAAACAATGTATTATTTGAATGAAATCCAAGTAACTTGAACTACACGAAATGGAAGAATCGCAGGAAGAGGAAAGAAGTTACATAGAAAAGAAGAAGGAAATTCCAGATTTTGCATAACTGATTTCCCACGTTCTTCCCACTACTTTTATTCCTCTAACCTACTAACTACAATCAACTAACTACTAACCGATTCTTAACAACCTTTAATAGCTAACAACTCATCTAATAGTCGTATGTCGGTCTACTATAACCTCGTTGATTTACACATGAATACCGGGAAATAAG